GCCATATGTGGTCCAACACATTAGTAATGATGTCCATTTGAAACCTTCCCTTCTTTTTGCTCTGTCTGACCTCACGCAGCCTTCATCCTCTTCATCCACAAAAAACAGATCAGCGTCTGCATAATTCATCCCATCATGCCTATTCTTTATATTCCGGTGTTGTGGGAGAGGTGGAGGGCAGAAGGAGCACATTGTTACAACCCTGAAAGGAGCTATGATCTTTTGAAGTGTTTGTGCGGTGCCTTTATGTTAGGTAGATACTTAAAACAAGAATGATGGCCGGTGAATCACTGTGTGCGTGTGTGTGTGATGGGAGGAGTGATGGAGGTTGGACAGTCTTGAGAGGCAGGAAAAGTATATGTTGCATAACAGCTCAAAGAGACACTTCCCTTTGGTCCATTAATTGGAAATATTTCCATTATGTTTCCACAGTGAGTATGCTAAAAAGCATTGCTTCAAAGACGTGTAATTAACATGGTCAACAGCTCCCATGAAGGTACTAAGTGCACACAGCTGCTGCAACAGATGTTTGTTAGATCCCAATTTACAAAAAATGTAAGAGCAAACGTAGTTGATCAATATATAACTAATTGTTTCAGTAAAGGTCCAGTGTGTAACATTTAGGAGGATCTTTTGGCAGAAATGCAATTATAATTCATAGGTATGTTTTCATTTGTGCATAATAAAATGAAATAATTTTTATGTTTTCGAATGAGCCGTTTTTTATCTATTTTTATCTTATCTGTCGCCATATTGGCAGTCATGACTTTGCCAGCTCCCTGATAATGCAAAAATGACTGCAGGACACGTGACAAGTGGTAAGTGTTCCTCATCCTTCTCCCGTTACTATTCCCCTGTTTAACCATGTGGAAAACATGATGAATACAGATCTGATATTCTCATGTAATCTGCAGAGGTTTTCAAGAGCAAGGACTACACCATCAACATGATATGTTTAAATGATTTATTAACAGAACAATAAATATGTATTATGCTTGAATCTGTTTCTTGCATGCCGTTCCAGTGTAGGGGGGCTTTTTATGGGGAATCCACTGTAGCACCTGGGTGCGATGGACCCCCTAGGGCCCTTCGCAGGGTAAGAAATAAGACATAGAAAAGGGGCGAGGGGGAGGGGCATAGAATATGAGAGCAAAAGCAGAGGAAAGGGTTGGGAGGATATTTATAAGAATGCCAGAAGAGGGTAATTGAGATGTAGGTCTGATCCTGATACTCCGCTAATAGCTTCAAAAACACACATGCTAGCCCCTAAATCATTTTTGAACAGTCCTTAAAGGGGAACTTTAATTTTTATCCTAGTCTTGATCACTAGAGGTCACCGAGTACTGTCGATAAGAAAAAGAACGACCAGAATTGGTTCTAGCAAACTGGAGATCCTGCAGCTAATGGCCAGAGCTCCCAGTTAGTTATAATACACTTTTTGGGGGCATATCCTAAAGAGTGCCTTTTGCTCCTCTTTATTATCCAATTAAAATGTGTGTGCAACATGCTCAGGGCCCTTACGTGACAACAACATGCCTTTTCAACTCATACGTTGTGCAGAAACCGTACAAAATAGTACTGTCGCCTACCTGGTTTTACACCGCTCGCTTCACCGAAAGCCCAGAATAATCGATCATGGAGATAATGCCTTCCCACGGGACTTCAGTGTGGGACTGCAAATAAGAACCAAACAATCACATTGTCCTACAAAAAATTGTGTTGCCGCACATCCCTTCTCAAGCCGTGTCTGCCAAAACGAAGCTAAATGAAGTTATGAATATAACATTACCTCCACAGTGGTTGCAGCAGTCTTCATCCTCAGAATGACATTTCTCTTCAGCCGGCCCCGCTGTGTTGTGTCTCTGTAGTCATCCTCCTCAAAATGTTCGCTGCAAATGCGGAGATCTTTTTCGCATAGTACTTGTATGGGAGTTTGCACATCCAGCTGAAGAACAACTAGCCACAACTGCAGTATCTCATGGTCATGGAAAGGTAGAGGATGAAAGTGTAGGCACTTGTACCTAGTAAACAAAGGCGGCGTGTTCTGGTGGAAGCGTCATAATAAAAACAACACGTAGAAAAGCATGAAAACTCTCTGAAAACAACCTCGTTAGAGAGGACAGGTCTTCACATAGTTACAGTGAAGAAACAAGAACGAACAAAAGAGAAAAGAGAAGAGAGTGTTTTTCTCTGGAGAAAAACACACCGGGGATGAAGAGGAGGGAAGCAACGTCGGGGAATTAGAGGAGGGTCGAGACGGGACGGGCTTATGGAGAGGGTCCCTTAGCAACAAAATGGACAAGCTAACAGTGCTGACATGGAGCCACCCGGAGTACCGTGAGTGCAGTCTGATGTGTTTCACTGAGACATGGCTGCACAGGGACATTATGGATCAGATTGTCTCCGTGGATGGCTTCCACACCGTCCGGGCTGAAGTCCCGTGGGATTTCACTTGTTGCAGGGAAACGCAGAAGAAGAGATTGTTGCAGGAAGTGTGCAAATCGGAGAGTAGTGTGTGAAGACATGGACATTTTTGAGGGGGAAATAAACTTTTTTTCGTCGTGAAGGCATTATCTCCGTGATCGATTATTCTGGGCTTTCGGTGAAGCGAGTGGTGGAAAAACAGGTAGGCGACAGTACTGTTTGTACGGTTTCTGCACAACGTATGAGTTGAAAAGGCATGTTGTTGTCACGTAAGGGCCTTGATCATGTTGCACACACATTTTAACTGCATTTTGTGTCTGTTAAGAGGAGCAAAAGGCACTCTTTAGGATATGCCCCCAAGAAGTGTATTATAACTAACTGGGAGCTCTGGCCATTAGCTGCAGCATCTCCAGTTTGCTAGAACCAATTCTGGTCGTTCTTTTTCCTATCGACAGTACTCGGGGACCTACAGTGATCAAGACTAGGGTAAAAATCTGCCGAAGTTCCCCTTTAAGCACTTGCACTTACGTGGCAGAGAAAAAGGAAAACAAACAAGAATATTAACATTTTTAAATAAAATATTCTCCACGACACGTGGTGTCAACGCAGACCCTACACATACCGTAGGAAGCTATGCGTAATTATTCATCATGGATCCTCAGTCCAGATTTTTTTTTTTTTTTTTAAATCCCCATTCATATTCCTCAGATGACTGAAAAATGTCACTTAGACTTGTCCATAGTCCAAACATAAGATGCATGGCTGCTCTTTTTAACAAGCAGGCTGTTCTCTATCTGTGATATAAGCGTCACGGAACTTCCATGTATCATCCAAAATGGATGATACATGGAATGAAAGAGTAGCAGAACGGGAGTTTATTGTTCCTTAACAGATGCAGCAGATTATTCTGATAAATCTTCACAGTCACAGTTTGGTAGTTGGGTGATTTACATTTTATAATGAAATGTGATAAAATATATATTGCGGGTTCCAAAGCAACATTGGAAGTTGCTCAACTTCATATTACAATCTATAGTCTCTAAAAGTAGAACAGGAGCCAGAGGCTTAAGTTACCAAGCTCCTCTCCTGTGGAACCAGCTTCCAGTTGTGGTTCGGGAGGCAGACACCCTGACCACATTCAAGAGTAGGCTTAAGACATTCCTCTTAGATAAAGCTTATAGTTAGGGCTGGATCAGGTGAATCCTGAACCATCCCTTAGTTATGCTGCTATAGGCCTAGACTATCGGGGGATTTCCCATGGTGCACTGAGCTCCTCTCTTCCTCTCTCTCTCTTTCTGCATTCATTCATGTCCCATTAATGCATGTTACTAACTTCACTTCATCCCTGGAGTTCTTGTGCTTTCTCGTCTCGCAGGTTCTCATGGATCCTGGTGGAGCTTCCTGCCATGGTCCTGCTTGACTGCCATTGCTAATATCACTGATATTGTTATTATTATTATTAATATTATTATTACTACAGTTACTATTGTTGCTGTTGTCGCTGCTCGTTGTCCCCCATCGTTGCTGTTGTCGTCGTCATTGTCTTCTTCATGTTCATCATCATCAGTCATTACTATTAGTGTAGTTGTTGCTACTGTTGTTGCTATGCACCTGTCTGTCTGTCTGTCTGTCTGTCTGTCTGTCTCTCTCTCTGTCTGTCTGTCTCTCTGTCTCTGTCTCTCTCTCTCTTTCTCACCCCAACTTGTCAAGGCAGATGACCACCCGCCTAGAGCCGAAGAGTAAGGCCCGGACACACCGACCCGATTATCGGACGTCATCGGACAGTCAGTCGGTGGTGACTCGAGTCGGTTCGGTGTGTCCCGTGCCGTCGTCAGTCGGAGTCGGCACAGCATTCATTTTTGTTTCGGCCTCAATGACCCATCTGATTGGTGGAGTGCTAGCCCTTGACTAGCGGATCAGTGAGTGAACGAAAAAAACGGAAGTGACGATGGTAAACATACTACGCCAACGCCAGTATCTTGTTATTATTAGCCATCATATTTTCCGTTCAACGAGTAATGACAATTACGATCCTTCTTGACTACTATCAACACTCTGATGAAAATGACTGACGACAGCGTGCTCTGTGTTTACTAGGTCTAGAGTGATCCGTCATTTCCGGTTTTAATTTTTTTTGGCCGATAACACAGATTAGCGCCGCCTGCTGTTATGGGGACGTATTACGCCTCGTGCACACGCAGACTACAACTAAAATGTGCGTCCTACTTGACATCCTGACCTGGCACCTTCTCCTCTACATTTTGCTTAACCTCAATAGCATTGGCTGCTAGTCTTGAGTCTCCTAGCTAGGCTAGCTCTGGATTCCAAATCCAAAAAAGAACTGAGAGGAAAATAGAAAATGTAATAGTGTGTGGACAGATTTGTTCACCACCAACATAGTAAGCTTACCAGTATTAATCCATTGCTGAAAATGATCATCGTAAGGCTTAAATATGTTTTGCTTCTACAGACAGATTTTTTTTGATAGTATAGCTTGCTGACCCCTGCTAGAAGGTCGGCAGGAGCCAGTCCCAGCTGACACAGCTAATGAAATTTAATAGGACACAAACCAAATGTGGCTTTTGTAAGAGTTCATTTTGTTTCCACACACACACACATACACACACCAATAGTCAATAGTGGTAAACTGAAAGACTGTGGGCCCTTTCAATCCCAAAAAAAGGTGGCAGATTGGAAAAGAAGTTGTGAGCAAAAAAGAAGTTTAAATATTTACATACACAGTTCAAAGTAACTTAATAAACTCAAAAAAATAAAGCAAAAAGAGACAGGGACATTAAATTGTGCAAATCACTACTGAAAACATTTTGTGATTTCCATTGTTCAATTTATGGCTCTTTTGAGCAAAAGTAATTATGTTGAATAAAGGCCTAAAATATGTTGTCTTGGTTCCTGAAACTCTGATATGTTGCCGGTGTTCATTGCTATTCAATTCAATTTGAGATATATATATATGTAATATATAATATAACATGAGATTAAAATTAAATATGACCATGAATATGAATTGTGAACCTGTAGGTTTGACCTTTAACTTCTGTTTCTCCTAAAAGTCTACAAGACAACTCCTCTTCAGCTCCTGATGTATTATTTGTTGCATGAATGCATGGCTGCTCTGCTTTCTCAATAGCTTTGTGTCCCATCATATATGAAGTGATGTTTATTAAAGTCACAGTAGAGAGCAGGCCATTCCTACTACATCAACAAATGCAATTTGCTGTAGGAGAAGCGGTGAACTGGAGTCCAGGCCTACAGAATCAAAACCGATGTGTGAGCAGATAGAAGAGGCAGAAAATACATCAACAGACTTGATCATCTGTGTTGTTGGTTACAAACAAACCACTCACAAAGAACAGGAGGAAGCGAGGAAAGCCTTTTAGTCAAGAAAGAAGTGTGGCAAGAAAACAGACCACACTGTATATTCACTCCTACGAGTCAAACTACTATTTGTCTGTACACAAAGTGTGTCAAAGTAAAGTGTCCACTGTCCTCCAAAAACACACATATGCATCACCTCAGTTCAGCCATGTGTTGAGCAGTGGAGGAGAGTGATGCCACAGAGGGCTGAAATATTCAGGGTTTTTTCCCTCATGTTCAGTCAATCTTCCTGATGCTCCAGTGCTGTTGCGGATGGATGGCATTCCCAGGTGACTCATGTCGTGGTGACATCAGATTTTGCTGGTGGCTCCAGACTCTCAGCAACTTCTCCCAGCTCATCCAGCAACTCTATGAACGCAGGTCGCCTGAAGGACTCCACCTTAGGTTGGAGGAGAGAACAGAGAGACTGTGTCACTAATTTCACTCAACTTCAAGTATTTATTTATAATATTATATAATTCTTTACTTAAGTAAAAGTAAAGTTACTGGTAAGTAAGGTTTACTTACTAAACCTTACTTACCAGTGTTAGGTAGTAAGTAATTACATGTAATTGGAATTTCATAATCAGATTACCAAAAATAAATTATTATAATCAGCTAAGTTATTCAGAGTTCCCAGTCTTTTCAACAAATAATTTTCCAGGACCTTTTCCAGAAGTTTCTCTTGACAATACAGTTTTGGGGAAATTGACTACATTAATTTGGTCACAGCCCATCAGTAACAGTTCAAATTAAGTGAATTTATTTTATTTTACAGAAAATTCCTCTTTTAAAAAGCTTAAGTATTTATTGCACAACAAGAAATTTGATGTTGTATGCATGTAGATATGAGAATTTTGCTCAGAGTTATGGAAAAACCAGACTCGATGCCGGAAAGATTACTGCAAGTCAGTTCCACTTTGCATCTGGTGAACCTGCTTTTAAGTGTCATACAATTTATCCTAACAACAGTCAAGTTTCAAACAAAATACACACCTAGGTTTATGTATCTGAGTGAGGTGCTAAAATACATTTCCAGGACAACATAGATTATTTCCAGGATATTTGGTAATTTTAATAAATGTCTAGGTCTTTCCATGACTCGAAAACTCTAAATTCTAAATTTGATAAATAATCATAGAAGACATTTAGTTAGCTGATTTAGAAATATTTTTAAATAGTTTAAAGGTCCAGTGTGTAGGATTTAGTGGCATCTAGCGGTTTAGTTGCGAATCGCACCTCCCTCACTTCACCCTCCCCTTCCAAGTGCGAAGGAGAAACTATATACACCCCTATCTAAGGCCAGTGTTTAGTCTGTCTGTTCTGCTACTGTAGAAACATGGCGGACTCCATGGAAGGCGACCCGCAGCGTCTGAAGATAAAAACAGCTCATTCTAAGGTAACAAAAACACAACTATTTGTATTTCCAGGTGATTATACACTAATGAAAACATAGCTATGAATATTATATTCCATTTCTGACAATAGAACCTCATAACCTCATTACACACTGTACCTTCAAAGAGAAAAAAGAATATTTGTGGAAAGCAGTCACAAAGGTGTCCACATATTTTTTTTCCACATCCATTTCTTTAGAATAAGGTCCAGTATTTCCTAAAGTAATCCTGAAGTAATCAGATTAGATTATATTTCCATTGTAATCCAATGGAATACGTTACTAATTACAAAAGTTACAATGTAATTTGTATTTATAATATTGTATTTCTATTATAACTGACTACATTTCAAAATAATCCGACCCAGCACTTAGTTACATATAAATATATACATGAATACATAAGTTTTAACATCATATTTTAATCAAAGTATCAAAATGCAGAATGTTGTGCGTGTGTGTCTGTGTGTAATATAGAATTTGATCATTATATTAATGTCACATTAATCAGTTATTAATGCATTAATGTTAGTAGCATTTTGGGGGTGGCTATTTTGAATTGACAGTTGGGGAGTTTAAATGATAACGATAGATCATATTTTATAAACTAATCATATGTTTTATGTGTGTGAATCTGTAAAGTAGCTGTAAATGTAACTTGAAAATTCCTAAAGAAATTTTGAGTGTGTCTGACTCTGGCCCATATATTAATACCATGTCATACTCTCTAGCACGCTAGCTAGCTAGCGCTAGCATATTAATACCTTGTCATTCTCTTTAGCTAGCTAGCTAGCGCTAGCATAATAATACCAGAGCCCGTCTACAGAGAGCCCTGCCATTCTCTATTAAGTCACATTGTACCGAATTTTGGTTGCAGTTCCAGCAGAGTTCCACTGGGGGCGATCGCCCATCAGTGCAGAATGAATGGGAGCAGATGGAGCTAGACGGCTACATTTGTCTCTTTCACCTGATTGTCGTTGAGAAATCTCAGATTTGATTGTAGTTTTTAAAGTTCAACATGGGTTATAGGTCGAAAGTTGAATGAACGAATTCTTATGTCCTTTCGATTTCTTACAGGACGAGTTGTTGTTGCCCATAACACGCTAGCATTCTGCTAATGAACACTGATTGGTCAGTGAAGGACTGATTACGACCAGAGATCCCGCTTGATGGCATCGTGTCCGAAGCGGGACCAGAATGTTAAGCAACTTTTTTTGGGTTGCTGGTACTTTTATCTGCCTATCGTTATGTCTGTGTTGTCGATGCCTCGATTGAAAAGGAAGTGCCGCGTGCGGAAGCACAAAGAGACTCGACACGAGGAGTATGTTAGCCTAAATGAATCCACCCCCCAGTCATATTAATACTCACATTCCTCGAGGCACTGGCCGAGGAGGTGGAGTAGCAGCCATATATGATTCGAGCGTTTTAATGGACCCTAAACCTAAACTAAATTATAATTCATTTGAAAGCCTTGTTCTTAGTCTTTCTCACCCAAACTGGAAAAAACTGCAGCCAGTTCTATTTGTTATAGTGTACCGCGCTCCTGGACCGTACTCTGATTTTATATCTGAATTCTCAGAGTTTTTATCAAGTTTAGTCCTTAAATCAGATAAAGTAATTATTGTAGGTGATTTTAATATTCATGTGGATGTTGACAATGACAGCCTTAGTAATGCATTTATATCATTAATAGACTCAATTGGCTTCTGTCAGAGTGTAAATAAACCAACTCATTGTTTTAATCACACTCTTGACCTTGTTTTATCATATGGCATTGATATTGAACATTTAATAGTCTTCCCACATAATCCTTTCCTATCTGACCATTATTTAATAACTTTTGAATTCATACTATTAGATTATAAATAATAATAATATAAATTTAAGGAGGAGATTCCTTCAGTGTTTAATTCAATGCCATGTCTGAATTTAACAGAGTCCTATAACGACTTTAGTCCCTCTGAAGTTGATAATCTTGTCGATAGTGCTACAGGCTCACTACGATCAACATTAGACTCTATCGCTCCTATAAAAAGGAAATTATTAAAACATAGGAGACTAGCACCTTGGTATAACCACCAAACCCGCCAGTTAAAACAAATAGCTAGAAAATCTGAAAGGAAATGGCGCTCTTCCAAATTATCAGAATATCGCTCAATTTGGCAAGATAATCTTAAAACTTATAGAAAGGCCCTCCGTAATGCCAGAGGAGCAAATTACTCAGCACTAATAGAAGAAAATAAGAACAACCCTAGGTTCCTCTTCAGCACTGTAGCCAGGCTGACAGAGAGTCACAGCTCTATTGAGCCACATATCCCCATAAACTTAAGTAGCAATGACTTCAGTTTTTTTATTAACTTTACTAGAAAAATAAATGAACATTTGAAGAGTTGTTGTTGTTGTGTTAACAACAATGATGTCAGTTACATAAGGTTAGAGCTATGGAATATTACAATTACCCAGATAAAATCTAAACAATATCTATATAGTGCAGGTTTTTATGTTAAGTGTAAGAGCAACCACTTCCAGTTTAAGCACCTCACATCTGGTTTAAGCCCGCCCACTCATAGTACAGACATAATAGTATATTCACTCATGGCTAATTATTATTTAATGACTAGTAGTTTTCTTCATTTGTTTTCACACATTAAACACAGCTATCTTTTTATATTTTGATTAATATTGAAAAGCAGTAACAATGCTGTAACCTTGGTTTTGTATTACTACTGTATTTTGTATCTGTAAATATTGGTCTACCTACCATGCAGCAGCTGGCTGATAACTCCAAAAGACGCTGAGGACAGTCAGACACCAGCTCTCTGAATGCAGTCACATCCAGTCCATAGTCCTGAAGTACATTAACATCGACAGTCACTTTAGTGCTTACACATTTCACTACACTCACCAAAGATCAGTGTGCTGTAACTGGTTCTATGGGCATCTGTGTCTTTTTCACAGCTTGGGATAAGTTGATAACAACACATGTTAACATAACTTACGCTGCTATTCACATGCTATGAGGAAGGGGATTTTGTGTTGCTAACACATGATGCATAAGGTAAGGTCTGACTCATAAGTGATTCTAGGTCAGTACTTCAAATTATAAACTGCTTTTTCAAAAATGTAGATTCTGTTATACTGCCTTTTATCTTGGACTATAAAAACCATACAATTAAAAAAAGATCACCTCTGCGAATCAAAACAAGCTGGTGGGCTTGCTCTTCCCAACTTTTGTCTCTACTACTGGGCTTCTAATATCAAAACAATCTTAGTGTGGTTGGACAACTCAGCCTCTCCGTGGCTGGGGCTGGAGCGAGCAATGCCGTCTTAACAGGTTGGGTGCAGTGATCCTGTCCCCAGTGCCTTAGATAAATCTGCTTATAGTGGAAGCGTCATTATAGAGAGTATGCTAAGAATCTGGAAGCAAATTTAGAAGCACTTTGGGATTGGTTCACTCTCTTATCCATACCCATATCTGGGAACCCTTCATTCCTACCATCCCAGCTTGATAATGGATTCTTATAGTTGGGAGACCAGGGTATTCAGATTATCAATTACCTTTACCTGAGTGGAACCTTTGCCTTGCTTGCTCAATAGCAAGAAATTTATAAACTCCTTAGAAATAATTTTTTCAGGTTTCTGCAAATCACAAACTATGTGCACACCCATGTACTATATTTTCAAAGTGCTTCATCCTCAGTTATAGATAGGCGCCTTCTCCGAAATGCGGGTTGTGACAGAAAGATTCCATGCTTCTATAATTCACTACAATCTATCAACAATTAGTAACAAAATGATTAGTTGATTAATTGCTTTAAAGATAACAACTTCAATCTACCATTAAATATTCTTCACTAAAGGTTCACTGACTAGTTTTTTACCGAAGCTCTGACCATAACATTAGAGATTGAAATGTTAAAATGTCTCTGAAATAAGCTGATAAAGCAAGATCAGTCAGCATCAGTCAATCAAACTACTAACTAACAGCATGATGTCCTGAAACAGTAGGATCTCCTGAAATAGTCAGCAAGTGGAAAATCAGGGCTAAAATCAGGCAGTGTGAACTGAGCATTAGGTCAAGTTCCATTCCCATGGGATATGGCTGAAAGCTCCGCAAAAATGCTAATGAGCCATGTCTATTTAAGTATTCATGAGTATTTTACACATCAACAATGACAAACATTTGCTGGTTCCAGCTTCTAAAATGTGACGATTTGTTGTTTTCCTCAGTTTTATACTATTGTTTTGACTTAAGGTAAGTGTATGATTGTTGTCTACTGTGATAATGATTCTTAATGAGCTCTACCTGCGTTCTGGGTAGTATCTCTGGGTCAGCGGGGATTCTGGCGAGGATTTCACAGAGCACAATGCCAAAGGAAAAAACATCCACCTGGAACAAGTAAGACATGATGCAATCACTTAGGCTAACACCAAACAAATCCCAAATGTATTGGTTGTTTTGAAATGCAACAAGCTGCCCAAAAATATACTTTTAAAGAACAGCTTATTTGCAGTCACGTGATTCCGATGACATGAAATTCAGATGGAAACTAGGGTGACTGGTCAAATTTGTGGAAAAGTTGCGTTAATTGCTGTGATCGCAACATCACAACTTCCTGAAGGGACTGATAATTATGCAGACAACACACACACACACACAACTTATGTTACCACTGCAGATTGCAACTTCCTTGCTGGAGTGTGCTATACAAATAAACTGGCTTTGCCTTGATAATTTTGAGACTTAAACTGATTAATACACTATAATGTGAGTTATTTTAACTCAAAAAAATGTTTAAACAGATTACATCAACACAAGTAACACAGACTTTAAGTTAAAGAAGATTCTTGATTAGGCAGTTATTACTAGTTCAGTCAAACAACTGACGTTTAAAATGTTTATTACAGCTCATCACTGGCCGCAGATATGTTTACATAGAGATATTGGGGAATGATGAGCAAATACCTTAAACCCCTAGCAGGGGCCTACAGGTGAATGCTTGGGTGGGAGTGGGGCTTACAGTGCAGCAGGCAGCAATAGCTTACAGAGCAGCAGGCATCAATACTGATGTAGGGCAACAGCGGCATTGACAGAGAAGAGGGAGCGCTGGGAAATTTTGCAAATTAAATAGACCGCCTGATTGGAAAGGTGTGCTTGGTCATTGATTATGGAGTGTGTAGCATGTCGTGTATATAGCAGTATAGCTCGAGTTGACTGCCTGAACTAGCTTGTGAAACTAACTTAATTTTGGTTAGTTACAGAAACATTCCCAATTAAGTACTTTAACTATGTATTTTGCTTTCACAGTACAAATAAAAATTTAAAAAAGTTGGTGTCACTTCAAATTACTTAAGCTACTTGATCAAGTTTGACTTAAAATGTGCAATATAATTAGTTTTAAAAAACTGAAAATCTAAAAATCTGGTTTTACAGTGTAGGCTAATTAAGAAAATTTGTAGAAATAATTGTAATTGCAACCTGAGAATTTCTATATACGTTTTAAGTAACACATTTTTACGTCATTATGTAATAACGGCCTCATTTGTAATAATCTGCCGCAATTCTGAAATTAATAGCATGAATGCAATATGTAATACATTTCCCCATGTTTTATAATAAATTATTACATACTGTGGTGGTTATTACAAAATGCAAGAGTTGCAGTATTTTATAATGAAAATGTAATAATATGGTGCATTGGGGCGCCCCAGTAGCTCTACTGGTACAGCTGGCACCCCATGTGCCAAGGCTGAGTCCTTGCTGCAGCGGCCATCTAATAAAGCTGAAAAAAAAAATTATAATAATACTATGGTACATGGGGCGGCTGTGGTGCAGAGGCAGAGCAGGTTGTCCCCTAATCGGAAGGTTGTTGGTTCGATCCCGGCTCCTCCTGCCACAATCCTTGAGCAAAATAATGAACACCAAATTGCTCCTGATGCTGTGCATCGGTGTGTGAATGTGTATGAATGTGTTAGTTTCTGTTCGATGGGCTTTGCCATCGCTGTGTGAATGTTTGTGAAAGGGCGAAATGTGCTGCACTTTGAGTGGTCGGAAGACTAGAAAGGCGCTATACAAGTACAGGTCCATTTACCATTTACCACATTAATTAGTAACCAACCAAAATGGATTTCTTCATCTGTACACATGTTATATTTTTAACAATGACCCTAAATGAAACTTCCCAAATATAAAATTTGACTCCTATGACCTGTGGTGCCGCTTGGCATTATAGTTGACTTTGATCTCATAAGTATGCACATAAAAGCAGGCAAAAAGTTTGTGTAAAATCACGACCTGGAAAAACTCGTCATTATATCTAGCAAGGCTGACTACTGCAATGGTCTTCTGACACGACTCCCTAATAAGACAATCAAAAACATAGAATACATTCAAACATTCATAAAAACTAAGGAACTCCCACAACACAATAATATGTTATAATTTATTACAAAATCTTAGATAGAGCAGTGTTATTAGGACTTTATCTTTATGTTACCTTGCGGTCATATGGCTCTCCTCTGAGCATCTCTGGGGCCATCCAAAAGGCCGAGCCCACCAGTGACAGCTTCCTGTCGGGGTCTTTGACTGGCAGCTCCACCACTTCCCTGGCGAGGCCAAAGTCAGTCACCAGGCCCTCCCGCCCCCGCGACGTCACCCGGATCAAACAGTTCTGGACAAACAGAGTGACACAGGGTGACTACAGCTGCAGTGTAATATTTTGCAAGCAGGGGGCAGTGTAAGGTTGTTATCTGAGGAAGCAGGCAGGCAGGCGGGCAGCAGTTTCTTTTGTCCACTTAATCAAAAAAATCTTGATGTTTGATTGTGCTTCCATTGATTGAAGCACGTGTTCCCTGGAAAGTGAACATCCAGCTGCCAGACAAACACTATCTCTTTAGTCTCTCCACTTGTCAATAGACTCAATAGGATCCGTTGTCAGCACCTTTTCACTACACTAAATAATTCACCCAGATGGACCCCATGTGTACACAAAAGAGAGCGACTCTGTAGTGCTGTGCCGGTTAGCCTCCATCACACTGACTGACTGGCTGTTCTCAGGAAAATCTCTGTGGAAAAAGACAAATCATGGTTCATTGATTTTACAGGCTGAAAGCTGGAGGTGTGACGAGAGGCAGACAGTGGGAGAGCTGTAGTTGCATAACAACAGTGGGTGCTTAATGTAGGCCTATATGTGTGTATTATTGTATGCATAGAAAGCAGTGTGTTGGTGCAAACAACAAATACCTATATCTATGTATCTAATAGAAAAAGCAAATATGAAACTGCAAGTTATGTGTTTGCATGTATATTAATCTTGCAAACTTCCCTTTTTGTTTTTAAGGGTCTCTGTGTTTGTGGGTATATGTGGAAGTGATGTTTCAGCATCTGGCTCCCATTGCACCAGAAGCCTTTTCCATCCAGTAGCTTGTCATTACAAGGCTGTCTTGGGAAAAATTTCAGTCCCAGACCTCGCCTCTAAATATAGCCGCTGGCCTCTCCGCCAAGGAAAGCAACAGTGTTTGAGGAACAAAAATTGAACGTGTGAGTAGATGCAGAGAAAGGAAAAAAGCAGCCTGTAAGCACTAATTAAAAGGGGCCTCAACTTTTCCAGGAGCTTAAACTCAAGTTAACTTGCAGAGTAGCTGAAGCGTATTCACAATGACTGCATTTGTTTGGGGGGCTTGGAATGTAATTTGCCCTATAGACGTTCTAAAACTTTGACGTCAGAAGCCTCAAATGTCCAGCCACTTAACTGTATTTGTAGTGGATGGCTTAATCCCTAGTTTCCAAATATTAAGTATAGGAACAGAGTTCTCCCAACTTTAAGGCAAGAGTCCGACATAGTCTTTAAAGGAAAGAAAAAGTTTACTGATCAAAATTTTGGTTTTTTGATTTATTATACACTGATCAGCCATAACATTATAAGCAGTGAAAAGCGGTGAACCGGAGACAGGCTCAAGGCTCATTAATGCACGTGTGACAACAACAGACGAGCTACTGTAGCTCAAACTGCTGAAAAAGTTAATGCTAGTTCTTATAGAAAGGTGTCAGAACACACAATGCATCAGTTTGTTGGTATGGGGCTGCACATTATGACTACCAGGGTGCACAGGTGATCACACATATGGCTGATCGGTGTATGTTGGTATACATATTACCAGTAGAGGTAATGCTATTACTGTGATACATTCTTGCACTGTTTGTAGCAAATAATCTTTAAATGGTAAGCTTTGATATCATGAGGATAGATGGTTGCCTCACTGTGCCAAACAAGCCAATGATATTGTATGCTAGTAAAATTAATTTTATTTATGCAGCAACCACATTTGATACATAATTTAATCTAGAATGCTGCAGGGATGACGTATTTTTGTAGGCCAACCATTGACAGTATATATAATGGACAAAACCTTCGGCTCTGCAAAGTGAAGCCATTTTTAAGTGTCTTAAACCTGCATTCTATGTAATGGCCAACAGGGGGGAGCTCAATTGACTGCAATAAAAGCAGCGTATGGTTTAGGACATGGCTATCTTATGATTGACAGGTCATTTGTGTCCGTCCAGCTCAAAGCACCAAACTAAGATCAAACTGTCAAACTAGGCAGTGTTGAACAAATATGAATTAAGATTATATTACTGCATTGACTATTTATCTCATCAAATCTTTTCCCAAACTTATTTTAGTGTGCAATTTAGCTGTAATACAAGATTGTGTGTGACCAGGCGACCTGCCATTGTTTCCTGCTACATATGAGTCAAAAACTGTGTAGCCAATGAGCACAGCTCAACATGCAGTAAGTCACCTCAACTGGCTTGTTTAACTGTCATGGCGAAGGCCATAACATCAAGGCTTCAAAACAGTACTCCACAAACCAATGGGTGACGTCACCATAGTTCACACTTGGGGCCTACACTTAAGTTAGCATCACCTTGACTTCTTTGACCAAAACCCAATGTGATTTTTCCATTGGATTTTGGATTATTGCACAAAATAAGCTCTGTGGTGAACAAAGGTTTACGATACTTACATGTTTTGTTCAGCAAGATAATCTTCATTATGAACACCACCTTTATGCTATCTTAACAGTGAAAAACATGTAACATCCTTAGTTGAGTTCAGAGCATAATAACCATGACACTAGATCACACACTTTATAAGTCCCTCATATCAAAACAGGAGATAGAGACACTCATTCGTCTGAGGGACTGTAAGCTCTAACAGTAGCAGTGATTGTTTTATTTACTGTGTGTTCTGGTATAAACACTGACCTTGTCAAGACCAGAATGGACCTGTGCCAGATGTGATTTTTTAGGTCCTGTTTAGGGGTCAGGGTAAGGTGTGAATTGTGGTTGACTTAAGGGATTGGCTTAGGCTGTCTACAACGAATGAAGTCAAAGGAACGTCCTAACAAGGATAGCTGTGGTGTGTGTGTGTGTGTGTGTGTGTGTGTGTGTGTGTGTGTGTGTGTGTGTGTAATAAAAACGTACTTACTATTATTCATATTTTGTGCATCTTTAACTGTATGTCTAAATCACCATGGATCCATATTACAGATGGACCGATCCAGCTTCTGTTGCCAGAGTGTGATGTAAATCAGCCATGGCCTGTGTGTGTGCGTGAATAAAGAGAAATGAGCCAGAGCCAAATAATCTGCCTGAGCTGACGTGTGTGTTAAGAGGGTTTGGTGTAGGCGAAGAGGCCCCCCATTCCCACACAAATCTATGTGTGTCAACAAGTTGTGTGTGTGGCAACAGCACTTAGTTAGCAACAATCTATTAACATGACAATAGAGCGACATGTCATGTTGCCTTGTCCCTTTGCATTACTGGCTGCTTCTTCTGTGAAGCTTGGCAACCAGGGGAGACAGACAGCACCTCCACAGAGTACACACAAACACAAAGGCATACACACATTCACTTAGACACACACTTTCACAGACATAAAAGCTTACCCACACAAGATTATGTGGATGAAGATGTGAGAATGTACAATGGCTCATACTGCATACAGTTAATAAATAAGATAACAGGAATGTCTCAGTCAGGAAAATGTGTTTTTACTGCAGTGTATAATGAGTTACAGTCACAAAGAAGATAGAGATTATTGAGCTACAAGAAAACAAGTCCGCAGAGTCCGCCTTGTTGAACCTCCATGTTTCTACAGTAGCCCAGAACGGTCAAACCAAACACTGGCTCTGGATAGGGGCAATGGCGTTTTTTCTGTGTGTTTTGCAGCAACTGTTGTGAAAAACAATCAGCCCAAAAAGACCAAAATTGGTCAGTACAGTCAAAACAAACTGCAGATGAAAAGCTACTTGTGACTGTACGTCGAACAGCGTGCCCATGGCGTTAAAATCGTCAAATTCCGACGATTCGCCATTAAACAGATAGTATTCCAGTGTACAATGTCCAATCACCACTAAACTTCATATATTCTGTAACAGTCCCACCCCGAACACGTCCTCGAGACTGCTCTGGTTAAAGTTAATAATGACCTTCTGATTGCTTCTGACAATGGACTTGTCTCTGTACTTGTATTATTAGATCTTAGTGCTGCATTTGACACCATTGGCCATAATATTCTTTTACAGAGACTTGAGCATCAAATTGGCAATAAAGGAACCACACTAAGCTGGTTTAAGTCATATTTATCAGATAATTCACAGTTTGTACATGTTAACGATGATTCTTCAATAAATACTACAGTTAGTCATGGAGTTCCACAAGGTTCTGTACTTGGACCAATACTATTTACTATATATATGCTCCCTTTAGGCAACATTATTAGGAATCACTCCATTAACTTTCACTGTTATGCAGATGATACGTAGTTATATCTATTGATCAAGCCCGATGAAATTAATCAATTATCTAAATTACAAACATGTCTTGCAATTTTCTGATGTTAAACTCAGAAAAAAACGAAATTCTTGTTCTTGGCCCCAAAAACCTTAGAGACTCACTGTCTAAAGATATAGTTACTCTAGATGGCATTACCTGGCCTCTAGCACCACTGTCAGGAATCTTGGAGTTATCTTTGATCAGGATTTGTCTTTTAACTCCCACATAAAGCAGACCTCCAGGACTGCCTTCTTTCATTTACGTAATATTACAAAAATTAGACACATCCTATCACAGACAGATGCAGAAAAACTAATCCATGCATTTGTTACTTCAAGGCTGCATTACTGCAACTCTTTATTATCAGGTTGGCTCAATAAGTCCATTAAAACGCTCCAATTAATTCAGAACGCTGCAGCACGAGTACTGACAGGAACTAGAAAAAGAGATCACATCTCTCCTGTACTAGCTTCTCTGCACTGGCTCCTTGTAAAATTTAGAATAGAATTTAAAATCCTCCTCCTCACCTATAAAGCTCTTCATGGTCATGCCCCTTCATATCTTAAAGAGCTCATAGTACCCTATTACCCCTCTAGAACACTATGTTCTCTGAATGCTGGGCTACTTGTGGTTCCTATAGTCTCTAAAAGTAGAGCAGGACCCAGAGCCTTCAGTTACCAAGCTCCTCTCCTGTGGAATCAGCTTCCAGTTGTGGTTCGGGAGGCAGACACCCTCTCCACATTTAAGAGTAGGCTTAAGACGTTCCTCTTTGATAAAGCTTATAGTTAGGGCTGGATCAGGTGAGTCCTGAACCATCCCTTTGTTAAGCTGCTATAGGCCTAGACTATCGGGGGATTTCCCATTGTGCACTGAGCTCCTCTCTTCCTCTCTCTCTCTTTCTGCACTAATTCATGTCCCATTAATGCAGTACTTCTCAAATGTGTCAGGGGGGTGTGAGAGGCAGGGGGGACTGACGGAGGAGGAGAGATGGAGAAGTTTCTGACAGGAGTGAAAAGAAAAACGGAGGAGACGTCAGAGGCAAGAACAGCAAGTGACGGTAACCGGCATAAACCTAATAAGACCAGGAAATACGACGACGCCTACATAACCTTTGGGTTTACCGTGAATACTGTCGGAAATGAGGAAAGACCTGTGTGTGTTTTATGCCTAAAAACTCTGGCAGCGGACAGCATGAAACCAAACAAATTAAGACGGCACTTGGAGACCTTACACCCCAGTTATGTCAATAAGCCACTGGACTTTTTTCATCGAAAACTCGATGAGTATCACTAACAGGCCGGTTATTTTGTGAGTGCGGCATCAGTAAATAAAAAAGCAGTTAGCCTCGTACAAACACCGCCACATCACAAAGTGCAAAAAACCTCACACTATAGCAGAGGAGCTAATACTCTGGCAGCATTGGACATGGTCACAATCATAGGTGAGAAAAGTGCTGAGACACTGAATACTGTCCCTCTTACCAATGACACGGTCGGGAGACATATATTTGACATTTCAGACGACCTCCAAGAACAACTCACAGAATGTCTAACAGACAAACGTTAAATATAAGCAATATTGTTGCACAATAAAAAAAAAATTCACATCCCAGTGAATCATTTGCACCTTTTTCTCTGTTTTGGGAATCACACAGACTGAGCAGTCTTGTTTAAATGTTACAAATTGAGTTAATAAACTGAACTTGGAAATTGTTGTTGCAGTTGTTGCAGATGCTATCTCAGCTCATTTTATTAATCTATTTTGATAATAAGGTGATTGTATGCAGAATGCTGGTGCCAGCAACTCATACAGATGTTTGTACAGATTGTCAGGTTCTCAATAATATTTCAATTCAGGAGGGGCGTGAAAAGAGTTCTGTCCCCTAGGGGGGGCACGACAGAAAATAATTGAGAACCACTGCATTAATGCATGTTACTAACTTCACTTCTTCCCCGGAGCTCTTGTGCTTTCTCGTTTCGCAGGTTCTCATGGATCCTGGTGGAGCCTCCTGCCATGTTCCTGCTTGACTGCCATTGCTAATATCACTGATATTATTGTTATTATTACTACAGATACTATTATTACTATAATCACTGCTCATTGTACCCCATCGTTGTTGTTGTTGTCGTCGTCATCATCTTCTTCATGTTCATCATCATCAGTCACTACTATTAGTGTAGTTGTTGCTACTGTTGTTGCTGTGCGTCTGTCTGTCTGCCTGTTTTCTCTCTCTCTCTCTCTCTCTCTCTCTCTCTCTCTCTCTCTCTCTCTCTCTCACCCCAACTGGTTGAGGGAGACAGCCACCCAACTAGAGCTGGGGTCTGTCTGAGGTTTCTGCCTCTTAAAAGGCAGTGTTTCCTTGCCCCCGTCGCCAAATGCTTGCTCATGGTGGTACTGTTGGGTCTCTGTAAATAATATTATAAGGAGTTTGGTCTAGACCTGCTCTATTTAAAAGTGTGCTGAGATAGTGTCCTATGTTATGAATTGGCGCTATACAAATATTGAATTGAATTGAATTGAACACTGACTGACAGGGGATTGCCAGCATTAATGAAATCACATTTTATTACTTTTGGGGCCTTTCTATGTCTTCATGAGCTAGTGGAAGATGAGAGAAGACAGGAAATGCCATGAGAAAGAGATGGGGGACGCGAACAGAGTACTTTGCAGTTCATGGTCGGCCACTAGTGTGCCCCACCTGTTGGGTTTTTTAGGTCAAAAAACAGTAAAGGCTAAGATCACCTCCAAACGTATTAAGGAATAGTCTGCTTGGAACAATAATGTGTGTTTGATATGTTTTTAGGCAAAAAAAGTTTAATTTCCACATTTAAATCCTTAAAAAGTAATCTCCTCCTTCTACCTCATTAAAACTTCCAGAATCTCTGAATATACAAATGTTGTTCATTTCTAAAGTTTTCCTGCTGGACACAAGATGTCTCCTACTTCACTGTAAAGTAAATTCTCACTGGATGTGCACTAGTGGCTTCTGTACAAGTTGCATACTGGACCAGGCCTGACTTTCAAAGTATTTGTGATGTCACAAATTATGCTGTTAGGCCCCGCCCCTTAAAAATCAGATTTTCAATGAGTACAGAGAAATTTTGAGCAGATGAATGTGAAAACATCCTTTTAGTGTCAGACAGCATTCAAACATCACACTGTATGAACAAGAAGAGACACTTCTTTCTCACTGGAGGGGGACTTTAGTATAGACTTATGTTCTTGGTATTTTAGCACTGAGAAGTTCACTATTCTCTGTTCTCAATCTATCCCAACGGTCTTATATTCTAGCAGTTGAGCTTACAAGTATCAAGCACAGTTGACCCCTGTGAGGTCTCTGTGGTGGCAGCTGATGACAGATGAAATGAAAGCTGAATGATCCCTGTGTGTACATTGGACTGTTGCAGCAGTTAATAACAGGACACAGTGGGACAGCGACAGAAGGTCTTACCTTCGAGTTGAGGTCTCTGTGGTAAATGTTCTTGTAGTGCAGGTAGATCATCCCCCTGCTTATATCACAGGCCAGGTCCACCTTCTCTCTCCAGCACAGGGGAACATCTTTCCTAGCCAGAAGCTCCTCTAGACAGCCACCATTGACATACTGAAAAAGCCAATGTCAGAATAAAAGACATTTTGAAAAATTTAGTATTTGTTCAATTTCATACATTAATATGAAGTTGATACAGGTGTACAATGCAAAAATATTAGATTATGTTAAACTATAATTCGCTTACTTACTTACTTTAAGCAATTAACCTAGGCCTGCTTACACAATAAATGCCTGACTCTAGTTCATTATCACTATCAACTCAAATCAGTGTTATCTGTTGTGTTTTTCCACACTCAGAATAGAGCCAGCCACACAGTAACAATGACTCACAGGGTGCAAAAAAAAATAAAAAAAGAGTAGGACTCACCTCTAAGATTGGATAGAGTTTGTCTTCCTTGACACAGATTCCCAGATATCTAGAATGAGAGGAAATACGTTTATTTCTTCTTCATCTTCCTTGTGAGTCCTTGTTAATTGAGTTTGCTAAATCTATAATGTGTAATTATGTATTTATTTATAATTAATTTCACATTTTTTTGTGATTTCCGATATTATCCATGGATTAATCCTAATGACTTTGGTGATCTAAGCTTGCGAGGACTGGACCTGGACCTGGACTTTCAAGAATTTCTTTTCAGTGGGAAGTGGCTTTTTTGGCTTCATGAGCCACTGAGCAGCTTGCATTAGAATGAATGGTGACGCTGTGGAAAACAACAATGGCTGCTCCCATAGAGGTGAATGTAGATGCTGCTAGCATCAATAACATCAGAACTGAAGAGTTTTTTTTATTATAAAAGGAGCAAAGAATGGCATGAAGGCTTTTCTCCATGGAAATATGCAATGCAGTGACTTGCATAATCTTGATCCATATTTGATCAGCACTGCCTAGTTTCACGGTTTGATCTGAGTTTGGTGGGTTGAGCTGAACAGACTCACTGAGAGTGACATGTTAATCATGAGGGAGCAACGCCCTAAAGCATAACCCTGTTTTACTCACTTACTTACTTATGGGACCATACTTTACTAAATGAACATCATGCTGTATGGAAGAAGACTGAAACTAGAGATTCAGACCATAAACTCATTAGGAAACTGTTTACTGAGCTCATAAATTAAGTCAGAAGTAGGCTAATTTCTCCATAGGGCTCAGTTCTATCAGACTTCTTATGTGCAGCTCGTGCAGCTGCCCCTTGCTGGCCAATAGAAAGAATACAGATTTAAGACACTTCCACGTTCGCTTCATTTCACAGACCTGGAAGCTCTGTCCAACTAATTATATACTGTCAATGTGTGTCACCTGATGAGTTTACTGTCAAAGCTGACAGTTAAAAGAAGGTTTGAGCAACATTATTACGTTGAGTCTTAGGAACAAAGGCTTCAATGAACATAATGTACACACACTGTTTAGTTTTAGCCCACGCAGTGTGAGCAGGTTGGTGTGTACCAGCTACCAACATTATAGGCACTGCTTTCATCACAGCCTGTGGTACTGTAAGCAGCAACCGGAGCAGATAAGCTGCACTCCGATAACCTTACCGCTGTGACCTTGCTAAATTGCTAAAATAAGATTGCTTAGGCAAACATGTCTGCCTTCGTGCCTTATGTAACTGCTGTAGCTGACAGACCACTGGTAAAAAGCACCACGGTCTCATTTCATTTGCGTCGACTGCAGCTGCAGCACTGACTGTCAGCCACAGCAAGGCTGTGCTACATTCAGGTTTACCAAACTAAATAGAGTAATCAACATTGTAATGTTAAAAATAATGTAAAGAGACATGTAAAGTATGTCAAAATCTTAATAAAGAAACAACGAATGCTTAGTTTGGATTAAAAATTACACAATAGGTAAGTTCAACTCAATAAATGCATTTGTAATACTATTACAAACAATTATGATAAACCCATAAGGCTTCTATTAACATTATTAAGCAATCAATAAACTGTTCTTATAAGTGATTATAAATGTCTTATAATCGAACAATAAACGTGCTTATGGTTGTATCACTGTAAACACTTATTACAAGAACCTATAAGATAATATAAAATGTTACCAAAAGTTCTAATAAACCCACTGTACACTGTCTATGCAGCACCAAACAATAGACATGGTTAGTGACTAGCTACTGAATATAGCAGAGCATTTAGCAGCTAAAGAGAGAGAGAGAGAGAGAGATTCCATACATATACATATATACATTTTTTAGATGTATTTTCTGTTGTTTCCATATGGTATGAAAAATCAAATGGTTTGATCAAACGTCTGTGAGAATACAATGCATGAAGAGCAGTGTTGGGCAAGTTACTTTTAAAAAGTAATTAGTTACAGTTACTAGTTACTTCTTCCAAAAAGTAACTAAATTAGTTACTCAGTTACAAATTATAAAAGTAACTAGTTACTTCAGAAAGTAACTATTGCGTTACTTTCAAGTAAATTGTTAAATGCTCAAATGTGACCCCACCTCCACCCCTCTTTAACGGAACTCAAAATACATGTGCATGTTCAATTATTTATGATAAATCTGAATATTATAATGAGATGGACACTTAATACAATACATTATTAACAGAAACAATGTACACAAGTCTAAACTATTTTAATGTCGCTGTGGGACAAAGTGAGACGAGCCTCAAATCAAATGCCATGTATGTAGATTATGTTTATATAGTGGATCGATACAAATAACACAATAGATGTTTTGGAACTTTTGATATTTATTGCCCCTCAACAGGCCACAACTGGGCAAAATTAATTTATGCTTGTTAAGCACTATACCAAAAATAAATAACAAATATATACACTCTTTGTAGTGCAAATAAAACAAAAAAAAAACTTCAGACAATTGGTAGATATACTGTACTTCAACTTGTAACAATATGAGGTGCTTTCAATCTAACTGAAAAGTACAATGTATAGCAAAACTAAGGAATCCAAATATAAATAGGTAATACATAAGAAATAAAAATAAATCTCTTTCTCTGGCCATTGACAATCTCACTTCAAGAGGCTGCAGCCAGCCAACAAATAAATCTAAATTAAATGATGCTCTTTAAGCAATGTACCAAAAATGTATTCAAACAATATATACACTCTTTTTAGTGCAAATGTAATAAGATGGAACACAACTCGCCATACCTGTCTCTCGTTGACTGACTCACTTGTGTTGTTCATTGTGTGTTGGACTATGCGTGCTTTCGAACACCCGCCCAACTCTACCTCTGATTGGCTTACCATGAAATATTACTCAACCTCAGCCAATCGTCAGCATTTATGCGCTTGTCTTGTGCACTGCCCACTAACCAAGGAAGAACAGAAAAAAAAAGTCTTTGCCTCTCGGCTCAGAGATCTAGTTGGTCTGATAAAAAAAACAGCTTCAATTATAGTAACGCGCCGCATTTTTTGGCAGTAACGGTAACAGCGTTCTTAAGATGGGAAGAGTAATCAATTAGATTACTCATTACTGAAAAAAGTTACGCCGTTAGTAATGCCGTTATTTATAACGCCGTTATTCCCATCACTGATGAAGAGAGACTGAAGAGAGTGTGCTGTGATAAAATCTAAAGCAAATTCTTTAGTAGAATTTAACCCATTTGACAAAGCTCAAAGGCTTCAGAAGAAGTGGGACACGAGTGGACTGTTACCTGACGATGTTGGGGTGCGAGAGCTTCTGCAAAAGGCTGATCTCTCGTACGATGCTGTCTTGGTCCACGTCGTTTTTATAGATCTTCACCACCATCACCTTCCGACTGGTGCTATGCATCACCTGAAGGACATTGATGTCTGTTAGTAGCAGAGGCAGAGGAAGCAAAAGAAGTGGCAGTTGTAGCTCTGGTTCTTGAACCAGTTCTGTACAAGATTCTTGGAAACTCTCTATCAAACCAGCGACCACCAGTTTTGAGTCAAACCGCTGTGGATGCATCATCAACAGAGGGCTTTGCACAGTTCACAACAACCTGTAGAATAAGACATGCCCACTTTGGTTCCCAAGCAAAACCTCCAATTTAGTCCTGTCGGTGGAAAAGACCAAAGAGTGACAGCAGTTTTTAAAGAGTCTGAAAGTGTATATCGTAAATCAAGTGCCCATTTGTGTTTTCTATGCTGATTCAATTTGAACATCACTCCAAAATCCGAGAGCAAGAACAGATTTTCTTCATCTCTCTCCCCCATCCTGTGGCCTCTTTCTAGCTCATTTCATCAGGGACAAAGCCTAAATGTATGAAAATCAGCTCCTCCCATAGCTCTACTCCAGCACTGCTGTCACATTAGGAGTTCTGTAAGGTTTCAGCTGGGGATGAGTACTGTGCCCCCATGGTCTCTAAAGCTGGTGGACCAATCACAGAATGGCAAGAATATCCCAATTAGTGGCTTGAACAATGCAGGCTTTGATGGCAGCTCACACATACGCCCGGCAATAAGGCAAAATATGGGGAGGACAGAAAGAATACCTTATAAACTTTAGAGAAGAAACCACTCCCAATTAGCTCAGCAGTAAAGTTCTCCCAGAACTCCAGTTTGCGGACTGCGGTGCGTAGCTTCTGCCAGCGGTCCACATGGTAGTACTTGTCTGAAGACTCACTGTACAGGGTGGGACTTGTGGGCTCAGAGGACACATCCACATCACACATCCTGGAGATGTCCGCTGGGGAAGCAGAGATACATAAAGTAGACACAGGTTAGGCTGAAGCTACTGAAAGGTTATATTTAAGTTATGTGCCCATTAAGTAAAAAAATATAAGCTTTATAAAAGATTCATCCAAGAAAGCACAGGTAGAGGCACAATCCTAAATGTCAGTTCAGCTTAGTTGCTTATTAGCAACGAATTATGAGCATTAATATTGGCTCTTTATTATTCACCATAACTTAATTTCTTACTCTACAACTACTAGGCCATTAACTAGGAGTTTTCCTACAGTTACCTCCTAATTACTGTTTATTGATAGTAAGTAAGGACGTTGTTGTACATTATGAATTATGATGTTAATATGCTAAGAATAGTAATTCTCTCTTAATAACATTCAATAAATATGGTCTATTCATATGTAACAAAACACAAAATAACCAAATAACTACATAAAGTCTCTCTAAGTCAGAATATGTTCCCCATTCTAAAGTGAGTTCTTGCTCATAACACAGTAAGACCTTAAACCTAAACTGTGATAATTAAATTTTTTTTTTTAAAGATTTCAATTCAAGTTTAAAAGTCTTATAAAAGTCTTGTGACTGTGGTCCATACTGAACCAAGCATACTAAGATCATACCTCATATACAACAACTTCCTTATTCACTATTGAGGAAAAAATATTAGTTAATGGCCTAGTTAGAGTATGGCCATGCAAAACAAGGCATAAAAAGGTCCAGTGTGTAGGACTTAGTGTTATCTAGCGGTTTAGTTGCAGATCGCACCTCCCTTGCTTCACCCTCCTCTTCTAAGCGCACGAAAAATGTGAATGGCGACATTGGCGGCCTCCATGTAAGGCGACCAGATAAAAACAGGTAATTCTTAGGTAACAAAAACACAATGATTTCTATATTCAGGTGATTATACACTAATTAAAACACACCTATGAATATTATATTCCATTTCTGATAATAAATCTTCTTAAATGTTACACACTGGACCTTTACTAAGTGCTTTATAATGACTTTGTGGAGGCACTGTGCGTTGGACGGTTCTGGCCTCCACATCGTCCTGATAATGGACACCTCGTCAGGCCTTATCCCTTAGATAAAGAGCCACTATGCTACTAATATGCATGCGAATAAGCAACAGTTAATGGTGAATGTGTACCTCAATATGTAGCCCATTAAAAAAAGAAAGTCTCTTTTCAATGCTTTTTAGTATTTTCATCCACCCAGAATTTTTTGTTTTGATTTGCCTATTTTGTCTCGAGAAATCTAATTAAGTTCTTAATGTTTTTCCCCATGTATTAAAATAGATAGTTTTGGACTTATTTAAAAATATAACTACAATATAATATAATGTAGGTGAATATTGAAAAACAATAAATGACATGACTTGGTTGATGAAGTAAAGCTTGCAAAACATGACTTACTCTTTTCATTGCAACATACATCAAATGATATGGCATGATGGCAGTGTACTTTTGCTGCCATGCCTGCTAATATCTTACCTTATCTCACCTGCTACTAGTACTACTGCCCATATAGTGTTAGATAAGGGGGATGAATAAAGGACAATCTTAACCTTATCTTACTGCCTCATACAATAGTAACGTTACATTTACTCAAATGAAAAAAGCAGAGGTAATGTGAGTTATGAGAACTTAAATTCTCCAATGTGTTTTAAGACTATGTGGCTTGCATTTGAATTAAGCAAATTAGATGTAGTTTGAATAAGTTACAACTTTCAAAAATATTTTTAAAATGACAGCCCTACTAGGTGCAGTAGCACTAGTAGTGAGAAAATGTTTTTTTGTAGCTTTGTGAACAAACGTTTTAAATCGAGAGGATAATGAGGTGCAACACAGAGTGAAAAATGTTTCAAATGTAGCCTGATGAAGCGCTAACTGGACAACAACATCATGCATTAATGAGATTGACTTTAATATACTCAGAGTTTAAGCTCCTGCAGCTCATAATCCCCCTTAAAAATAGCTGGAAAGCCGGGAGACCAGAAACACGTGTGTATATATATATATATATATATATATATATATATATATATATAAAAAAACAAAAAAAACTTCCCTGTCACCCTCTTGGGGTGGTATCTGTGTCATCCTCAAGCTCGGGTCCTCTACCAGAGGCCTGGGAGTTTGAGGGTTCTGCGCAGTATCTTAGCTGTTCCTAGGACTGCACTCTTCTGGACTGAGGTTTCTGATGTTGTTCCTGGGATCTGTTGGAGCCACTCCCCCAGTTTGGGGGTCACTGCCCCGAGTGCTCCTACTACCACGGGGATCACGCTCGCCTTGACCTTCCACATCTGCTCCAGCTGTTCTTTCAACCCTTGGTACTTTTCAACCTTTTCGTGTTCTTTCTTTCTGATGTTGGCGTCTGCTGGTATGGCCACATCTATCACCATCGCTTTCTTCTGCTCCTTGTCTACCACCACTATGTACGGTTGGTTGGCCAGGACCTGTTTGTCAGTCTGGAATCTGAAGTCCCACAGCACCTTGGCCCTGTTGTTCTCAGCTACCTTCTGTGGTGCGGCCCATTGGGATTTGGGTACTTCTATTCCATACTGAGTACAGATGTTCCTGTACACTATTCCAGCCACTTGGTTGTGTCTCTCCATGTACGCTGAACCGGCTAGCATCTTACACCCTGCTATTATGTGCTGGACTGTCTCAGGGGCATCTTTGCATAGTCTGCACCTTGGGTCAGATCTACTCTTGTAGATCTTGGCCTCTATGGCTCTTGTACCTAGGGCCTGTTCTTGTGCTGCCATGATCAGTGCCTCTGTGCTGTCTCTGAGTCCAGCCTTTTCCAGCCATTGGTAGGTCTTCTCGATATCAGCCACTTCTTCAATTTGGCGGTGGTACATGCCATGTAGGGGCTTGTCCCTCCAGGTTGTCTGCTCCTCTTCCTCCGCACTCTTATCGGGTTTTTGTTGCCTGAGACATTCACTTAGCAGTTCATCGTTTGTGGCCATTTTTCTGATGTACTCTTGGATTTTTGATGTTTCATCCTGGATAGTGGCCTTGATGCTCACTAGTCCTCGGCCTCCCTCTTTCCGCTTAGCGTACAGTCTCAGGGTGCTGGATTTGGGGTGAAACCCTCCGTGCATGGTGAGGAGCTTAATATATATATATATATATATATATATATACATCTACATATATGCACTGGTATGTATCAGCCCAACAAATTAATTAAATTTAAATTTTAATTTTAGGGTTTTTTTTATAACATTATTTACAGAGACCCAACAGTACCACCATGAGCAAGCACTTGGCGACGGGGGCAAGGAAAAACTGCCTAGGTGGGTGGTCGTCTGCCTCGACCAGTTGGGGTGAGAGAGAGAGAGAGGCAGAGAGAGACAGACAGACAGAGGTGCAAAGCAACAACAGTAGCAACAACTACGCTAATAGAAGTGACTGATGATGATGAACACGAAGATGATGACGATGATGACAACAACAATGGGGGACAAAGAGTAGCGACGAGAAAGCACAAGAACTCCGGGGGAAGAAGTAAAGTTAGTAACATGCATTAATGGGACATGTGTGCAGAAAGAGAGAGGAAGAGAGGAGCTCAGTGCATTATGAGAAATCCCCTGATAGTCTAGGCCTATAGCAGCATAACTAAGGAATGGTTCGGGACTCACCTGATCCAGCCCTAACTATAAGCTTTATCAAAGAGGAACGTCTTAAGCCTACTCTTAAATGTGGAGAGGGTGTCTGCCTCCCGAACCACAACTGGAAGCTGGTTCCACAGGAGAGGAGCTTGGTAACTGAAGGCTCTGGCTCCTGTTCTACTTTTAGAGACTATAGGAACCACAAGTAGCCCAGCATTCAGAGAACGTAGTGTTCTAGTGGGGTAATAGGGTGCTATGAGTTCTTTAAGATATGACGGGCCTGACCATGAAGAGCTTTATGGGTGAGGAGGAGGATTTTAAATTCTATTCTAAATTTTACAGGGAGCCAGTGCAGAGATGCTAGTACAGGAGAGAACTGATCACACCAACACAAAGACTGTGCGACAACCGAAAGGGCAATTTATGCATTTAACAGTATGAAAGCGACGCTGGATGAAAGAGACGCTCATAAAAGGTTTAATTTCACTCTCCCACATATTAGCTGCATGGATGAGGGAAAGTGCTACCACTTTACAAAGTGAAATAAAGACAGTTAATAATGTGAGGTTTAAAATAGCAGCAGAACTGATGGATAACAGGGGCTGGTCACTGAATGAGGACACTTTCCAGAGTGGTCAAGTGAGCATGTGAATTTGTCCTTTAGAGAAAAAAGTAATCTAATTTCTCGGCATCCTTTGAGGAAGCACTGGCAGCTACAGGGGTGTTCGTTAAACAACACTGGTGGCTGCTAAAGAGGTTATCGTAAATGATGCTAGCATCAGAACTGGAGAGTATTTCTTCAATTGAAGAGCAAAGCACTTCTGCAAAAACACTGATGGTTTTTCTCCATGGAATGTTTGCGAAAAGCAAGTTTTTTTTTAAATATGATATGTAAGATTTCCTATTGACACACTAATGCAGAGGATAGAAAATATCCGGCAAATGTTTTCGTGAAGCGACTAAAACCAGTAGCAGTTTCAAGGTATTGTAATATTGTAGATGTTACATTTTTGAGACGTCCTTTATAGCACATCTAGAGTACACTGAGCAACTATTTATCCTTGACTTATGCACAGATCTGGTGATCAGTTTGTGTGTTTCACCATTTAGCACCACCGCCATTACTGCAGTGGCAAGTTGTAATGACTCTGTTGACAGTGACAGCAGCGTGGGTTACTAAAGAAGGTACCCTGTATGGATGGCAATCTTAGTGTTATTCAGGTTTTACATATCAGTTTGACATTTGTCACAACAATAGCCAGAAACAGAGAAAAAAACGAGTTACTGTCAAGATAATTAATTAATGGCCTGGCATCCGACCATATTGGCCTTCTGCATGCATAGGGAATCTATGTACAGTTCCCCTCAATTCAATTCAATTT